CTCCACGTCCCGTTGCGCGCCGGTCCCTTCTCCCAGTCGGGAGTTTGCGTCCTCACTGCCGCTCTTTCTTTTCGGAAAACTCCGTCATTGCCCTGTCCTACTTCAGCATAGTTGCCCCTCCCGCACCACACCACCACTCCACTCTCTGCTTCGCGTAGTGATCCCCAATTCTCTCACACGGCCATGCGCTCGGAAGATGTCCGCGGGCTCATCCAATTCTCTTGCCGTGCGACTTCATTTCCCTTTGTCGTATCTTTGCCGTCTCCCTACTACTCGTTAATGTTTTTCAACATTTCCCCCCCTTGTTCTTACATAGTCATCATTCCTACTTTGCCATAATTCCTTCTTCGCGGTCGTTTCTTATCTCCGCTCTTCTTTTTCTCCGTGATACTAATCAGTAATCCTATAGAGATGTAATTAATCCTTCATTCATGTAATTAATTTATCCGGCATTTGCGGAGAAGGGTTTCTACACCATATGCAATATATGTGGAGCCGGTCAAGACATGAAGGGTCAAATGTTGCAAACATTTTCCCGTGTATCTCTTATTCTGTATGACGCTGTCATAAGTAATCAAGTAAAACTTATAGGGCGTAAAATTGTCTACAAAAGTGGTTCCCTTTCTTAAAAGGACCAATCGACACAGCACGGAGGAAAATGAGAGCTAGTTTCGGAGTTGTGTTTCCTTCAAAAATTAAGTCTTCTCTAAGCTCGTGACAATATTTTAATTATCAAATTATCATCTCTCACAGATGAGTCATTTCACGAAATGTCCAGAAAGAATAGTTTAAATTCAAAGCAACTCACACGGCATGCAGCATATTCGGCAACTCACACGGCTAATTATTCTTCCTTGCCTATTGATAATATGTTGTAATACTTGGTTCTTATGGTAAGTGAAAATTTCTTTCAACCGATTTTGTTTGAATATTTCGAAAATAATAACATTTTGTGAATTGCGACAGTTTAATTTCTGGTACCTATTATAGGAATTCAAACATAATATAGAATGAAAAAAGAAAGCTAAACATATGTTGAATTAAATTGCTTTCCGGTTGAATTGCGTTTGAATTTCCAATAAATTAAGTAATTATTTTATTAGTTTTCTCTTAAATACACGTATAAAATCACCAGGTGTTCACTTGTAAGCAAAAAAGCAGCATCACACACTCTAATTACCGTCTAACACACTCTAAGTTTACAGTCCAATTAAGCCTTCTCTAAGCTCGTGACAATATTTTAATTATCAAATTATCATCTCTCACAGATGAGTCATTTCACGAAATGTCCAGAAAGAATAGTTTAAATTCAAAAATGTCGTTCAACAAGAGAGACACGTAGTTCGTTATTAGGATGTAGTTTTACCGCTCTCGTTTCATCACTCATTTTTCACGTCGAGAAACACTATTTTATTAAAATGAATTATATGGGCTATATGTCTCAATTCTAATATAAACCAAAAATTTAAATGGCTATCAACTCTTTAATGGGACTTACAGACAAGTAATAAAATTGTGGAAAGAAATGGACTTTACCAAAATATCTGGGACAATTTATATGGAATAAATATGATTTACATTTCAAAAACACCTTCACTTTGAAAGGAAAATGAATTGGAGACGAAAAGTTCGCACACATTCGCGCTGAATATTTTTCAGTAGAACTCCGTTATTCGCTTGATATTTTAAAGATTGGCGCGTATGTACGAGAAAAACAAAAGGAAGTCCTTCACAAATGCAATAAAAGTTACCCAGAATTATTATTTGAAGAATTCACAGGATTATCAACTCAAGAAATTTCACTAATTCAAAGTATTAGTAAACAAAAGATAAAACACAATACATTAATACAAAAGGGCCACATTCAGTTGCATGTTTGGATTAGTAATTTGTGATAATTATTGAACTCTGTTTTCAGGTCAGTGGTTTTCAGTGGCCATCACTTCTTTGTGCCCACCTGCGTAGCAGAGTTAGCTTAATAGTCTCGATCCGAAAAGTTGGGAATTGCCTTGGTATGGATGTTTGCCACGTCAGGGCTCTCCCAACCACAACCTAGCGCGAGAATTGAGAAAGACTTAGTATAGTGGTAGGATTTAGAACCCATCACAGGAGTTGGACTAGTCCCTGTGAAGCAAGCAAACTCTTTTTGTTGGAACAAATTGCACATCAGATTGCCCGGGAATCGAACACGGACCTGCTTAGTAAAAGACAAGGGACTTTGCTCCTTGCCCCGAGCGCCTCTAGTCTGCCTTGTCTTTCTGTCTTGTCTGGGCATTTGGGAAGTGGTGATGGGGCTTCAGGAATTTGCGCCCAAGGAGAGGAAGGTGGGGCGCTGATAACAATGGGATAGTGTGAACTAGTAGTAATTTTTACTCTTAGTTCCCCTACTCGTCACTCCACCCTCTGGGTTGGGCTACAAAAGTAGTCCAGGTGTGCGACGTACATGTGTTAGCGCCATCTTGGAGTAGCTCGACGCAGGACGAAGCGCAAGGGGCTTACAAACTACGGTTGTCAAACTCTGGGTTCATGAGCTACATCGTCACGATGGAAGGGGAA